TTACATGAGCAATTTGCTAAATGTAAAACTGGATTGTGTTTTTGTATTATTTTTATTAGAAAGAGTAGTGATTACCAGAACTTCTTCCTCTTAAAAGAATTACTGAAAACAGCTTGAAAATCATAAGCATTATTTTTATGTATTGGAGCCAAAATATATCTCTTCTGGAATATATCTCTAATGATCTCATAAGTTAATGGAAAAATAGCAGTAACATTTGCTTTACTGCCAAGGTTTAAGAATACTTAAGCAAGGCGTATTCATTTTAGTGATAGGAAAATTTAATTTTTTCTTGTCTGGAAAGGTATTAAAGAGTGTTAATCAATTTATGTTTTGGAGAACTTTTAAAGTTTGCCCTTGATATCAGTTGTTACTTGCCCCAAAAGCTTATATATTTGCATCTGTTTATGTTTACATAAGCAATGAAGATATCAATAGACTTTTATGAAATACAAGAAGCATATACTAAATTTCTCAAGATGAGTAAATAAAAAAAAATAGCCAATACAATTTTGAGGGTGAAAAAAAATGCCCCATCAAAAATAAAAGTATATTACAAATCTGTCCTAATTAAGCAGTAGGATATAGACAGGGATAGACAAACAGCTCATTAGAACATAATAAGCAATCCAGAAATTGACTGATGTGTATATTAAAAGAGAATTTCTCATCCACAGGGAAATAAGTGGCAGTGAGAGAATCAACTACTGATTTAGAAAGAAGTAAAGTTAGTTTACTTTTCTGAATCATACACACAAAAAAATGAACCCCTCCAAAGCATATGTAACAGGTAAAAATAACAGTTTTATACTCTTGGCCTCCTCCGTCCATAAGACACAAAACAATGAAGTAAAACATAACAATACAGACAGATTTGAACATACAAAAATTTAAACCAAATACCATTAAAAAGTTTAAAAGTTAATAACAAATTGGAGAAAAATATTGCAACATATGCAATAAAGGGCTGATATCCATGATATCTAAGGAGATGCTACTAGTCCATATAAAAAGACAAATAACTACCCAAAAAATTGATCCCATAATTTTTTTTTTTTTTTTTTTTTTTGAGACAGGGTCTCACTTTGTCACCCAGGCTGGAGTGCAGTGGTGTAGCCATGGCTCACTGCAGCCTCAATTTGCTGGGCTCAGGTGATTCTCTCACCTCAGCCACCCAAGTAGCTGAGACTACATGCAAGCACTCCCATGCTCAGCTAATTTTAAAAATTTTTTCTAGAGATGGGGTCTCACTATGTTGATCAGGCTGGTAGAGAACTCCTGGGTTAAAGCAATCCTCCTGCCTCAGCTGGTCAGAAGTTTTGGATAGTCAAGTCAAATAATAAAAAATAAGTGATCAATAAAGATATGTTAAGATGCCCAATCTAATAGAAATCAATGGAATGCGGTATTATTGTTCATCCTTTTAGAATATAAACCTCTCAGCCACATCCCTCTTCTCCCAAATGCTGATGAGGGTGAGTCAGTAGACTAGGCATGCTCTTAAACTGTAGATCTGTAAACTAAGTGCTCTTTTTGGAGGATAGTGGAATAGTTTATTCCAAAATGCAAAATGTATATGTCCAGAAACCTAGCAAATCCACTTATGGGACTAACACAGAAATACTGGCATGTGTGCACAAAGATATATGCCTAAAGAAAGTCAAGGCAACATTGTTTTAATAATGAAAAATTGAAAACTCCATAAACATTCATCAATAGTGTAATTGTTCAATAACTTTTTGGCATATTACCTATGAAATGTCAGTCATTCAAATGAAATATATATATATACACACACACATATATATGTATGTGTGTGTGTGTGTATATATATATATATTTTTTTGAGACAGGATCTCTCTCTGTTGCCCAGGCTGGAGTGCAGGAGTGCAGTGGTGTGATCTGGGCTCACTGCAACCTCTGCCTCCTGGGCTCAAGGGATCCTCCTACCTCAGCTTCCCAAGTAGCTGGGATTACAGGTGTGAGCCACTACGCTCAGCTAATTTTTGCATTTTTAGTAAAGACAGTGTTTGCTATGTTGTCCAGGCTGGTCTCGAACTCCTGAGCTCAAATGATCTGCCCACCTCGGCCTCCCTAAGTGCTAGGATTACAGGCCTGAGCCACTGCATCTAGCTCAGTGAGATATATATTATTATAGAAAAGATTTCTTAGATGCTGTGTTTATGTGTGAGAGAGGGTGCATATAAATGCATACATGTACGTACACATATTTTATATATATACACACACACGTTTATAAATGCATGGAAAAACATCTAAAAGGATCTACATCAAGCTTTTACTAGTGGATACCTGTGAGAATAGAAATGAGGTTGGGAAAGGAGTGAAGGGTTTTCATTTATACTTAATAGAATTTTGTATTGCTTGAATGCTTAATTAGAATATATTATTTTTGTACATACAAATACAAATATAAAAAAGAGGCCAGGTGCAGTGGCTTATGCCTGTAATCATAACACTTTGGGAGACTGAGGTGGGAGGATCTCTTGAGCTCAGGAGTTCAAGACCACCCTGGGCAACATAGCAAGACCTCATCTCTACCAAAAAAAAAAAAAAATACCCCCACTAAAACAAAATGACCCTTACTTCTCCCTGTACCCCAATTTTATTGTACTTCTTCATATAGAGCACAACAGAATAGAAAGAACCTCTTTTAGTATGCATATTTATTTTTCATAAAATGAGAACTTCCATAAAACTGTACTTTTACAATTCGATTCTTTTTGACTGTAATTTATTCTTTATATCATGCTATCAGATGAAGATAAGGCTATCAGATACTCCAACTTCTAGGAAAACTACACAGAAGCAAAACTATCCCGAATGATAATGTGTGGGTTGAGTGCAGACCCTGCAGCTCAGGGGTCAGGACTCAACTGCACCAAGCACTCCATCTTCCCAGTTGCCCGGAGGCCCCAGTCAGCATGAGGTCACCCCAAATATTGAGCCACTTTTCAATAATCAACTTTACTTCAGAAGAGCAGCTACAGGTGTCACATTTTAGCATACATTTTTCCCTACCTCAGAAGTGGAAGGGAGAAAAGGGGGGGAAAAAAAAGTCTGGCTTCATAGGGACATGTTGTTGGTCTCAGAGTACATTATGATAGAATAAAGCCCTCAAATAGATAAAAATCCATTCAGGATGTTGGAATACTCTACATGTATATACAAACAAATGACATAGGAGGACATAAACAAATAAAGAAGAAGTACATTCAGCTCTTGGTGTCTGCAGGGGATTCATTCCAAGACCCCTTCAGATATGAAAATCGATGAATTCCTCAAGTCCCTGATATAAAATGGTGTAGAATTTACATATAACCTACACCCATCCTCTTATATACTTTAAATCATCTTTAGATTACTTATACTACCTAATATAATGTAAGTGCTGTATAAATAGCTATTATACAGTATCATTTTATGATCTGTGTTATTTTTATTGTTGTGGTGTTATTTTGTATTTGTTTTAAAAAATATTTTGGGCTGGGTGTGGTGGCTCATGCCTGTAATCCCAGCATTTTGGGAGACTGAGGCGGGCAGATCACTTGAGGTTAGGAGTTTGAGACCAGCTGGACCAACATGGTGAAACCCTGTCTCTGTTATTAATACAAAAATTAGCCAGGTATGGTGGCACATGCCTGTAATCTCAGCTACTTGGGAAGCTGAGGCAGGAGAATCGCTTGAACCCGGGAGGTGGATATTGCAGTAAGCTGAGATTGTGCCTCCAGCCTGGGTGACAGAGCGAGATTCTGTCTAAAAAAAAAAAAAAAAAAAAATTTGGATTGTGGTCAGTTGATTCTGCAGATGGGGAACCCATAGATACGGAAGGCCGACTGTAACCCTGAAAGAAAGGGGAGTTGCCCTGGCACACAAGACAGTAACATAGGAAGAAAAGCTGTGGAGTAAGTCTACAATAACAAACCTCACTGCTCCCCCATCAATTTCAGGGAAGTTTGCTGTTAAAGTTGGAGGTTATACAGCAGCTTCCTTTATATTGTGACATGCTCCCAGTACACAGTGCCATCATAACCGGGACTGCAGGAACAGTGGCACCGGGATGTATGGCTGTAGCTTAGAGGATCAATATTCGTTTTCCACAAAGACCTATCATGATCTTTTTCATGTCATTGGTCATCTATCCTGGTATTTTTTATTGATTTGATTTTTAAAGATTTGATTTGCTTGCAAATTTTTAGAAACACCTGTTATACAAAGCAAAGTACATTCATCCTTAAGACAGAAATAAACAGAACACCTGTGAAGTGAGGGGGTCAGACTATATGATCACTCAGGTCCTTTCTGGGTTTGGTAACCTGTGAAAGAAACCGAAGGGGACTAGCGGAAAAATGGTAAGACGATAGCAATATCCTATGGCACCAATAAAATCAGGATTCCCATTCTAAAGTTGTATCTTCTGAAAAGTCAGCTTCAATCCTATGTTATGTCTATTGTGAAACCAAAGTGTTATATATGTGCCCACACTGACTCTCGCCAGCATCTATTCTGGGCATACAACTTCAAGTAAGTCTGTTCAAGAGCAGAATAAATGATGTCTTCAGGCCCAGAAAAAAACGAAGAAAGGAACCAAAATGTAGCCCTATGGAATGATTCAGACTTCCTTGAAAGAAAAGATTTAATTTTAGAAATTCTTATTCAGCATGATTAGTTTTAGTGTTCTTGAAGGAGATAGCTGAGTTTATTATGAAATTCTAGAAATTTACAGTCTTATCTAGTAATATGTTTAAAACTGTCACACAGATTGTTAGGTTCTTAAAAGGAAGCAAGGATGAATGTGAGAGAAGCGGAAATGTTCATAAGATGGTTTTAAGCTAAACTGTTTAAAAACATTTTTTAGTTGTGATAAAATATACCTATCATAAAATTTACCATTGTAGGCAATTTCTTTTTTTTAACCAACTTAAGATGGGATCACATCTTAAGCAGTCTCAATTTCTAAACTGCATTTTGTCACCTACCTTGTAAACTGTCGACTCTCTTCATGAACTTCCATTTCTGTGCTTTTAAATTCATTTAGTTCTTTCCTTATTGCTGCCTAAACAGGAAAAAAAAAAAAAAACAGATAAACAGAATTGTTATTTAGGTCATATATTACCCCCATATATACAGCATCAATGAAGCAGACCTTTTTGTTTTTTTTTTTTAGGAGACAGGCTCTCGCTCTGTCACCCAAGCTGGAGTGGAGTAGTGAGATCATGGCTCATTGCAGCCTCAAACTCCTGGGCTTCAGTGATCCTCCCACCTCAGCATTCCGAGTAGCTGAGATTACAGGTGTGTGCCACCATGTTCAGCTAATTTTTAAATTTTTTTTTTGTAGAGACGGAGTCTCAAGATATTGCCCAGGCTGATCTTGAACTTCTAGGCTCAAGTGATCCTCTTGCCTCAGTTTTTCAAAGTGCTGAGATTACTGGTATGAGCCACCATACCCAGCTTAGACATTCTTTTAAGGTGTAATAAATGTAATGTAGTACTATAGCCAAAGTAAAACCATGATAGACTTCCTTCAAGTGCCCTTGGCAAGGGGGAGTGGGAGTGGGCCTTTGCTAAACTCATCCTTTGAGTCTGGTCTATGAATCACATGGAACATCCCCCGCCTACGATGACCACAAGGAAAGTGCAGGTCATGACATTTTCTGAGAAGCAATACCATTTTCCTGTGGAAAGTTCTGCACTGAATATTGCCCACAACATGGCTTTGACTAGCTGCCAGAGAGCTACTGAGAAGGCAGTCGCTTATATGTTCTTTAATATTGAAAGTTTATAGAAATAGAACTTATAATTTCAGCATAGTCCTTAAAGCTACCCAAAGAAAATATCAAATAGAATGCATTGCTATTTAAAGAACACATAATCCGTGTAACGTAATTTTTGGTATTTGAGGGGATGCTTACGCCATTCAGACTGAAATGTTAACATTAGTTATCTGTTAACAAATAGTGGCAGGATTACAGATGGTTTGTGGTTTCAAATTTTTGCTTATTTTCATTTCCTAACTTTTCTACAAAGAATGTTTTACTCATGTTTTTAAAAAGGTGCTAATAAAAACACCCCTGTAACCTCTAGGCAAAATGGACTCTTCAGCCAAAACAAAGAATGATAAGTCACAGGGAGCGACTTCACTGGGAGATAAAAAGTCTTCTTTGTGGTTGGAAAATAATAAATTTTAGAAAAGGGAACAGACAGAAGAAAGCCCTGAGGCCTCTCTCTGGCTCTTTCTCATAACTAACCATCATTCTGCAATACACAAGCCTTTCCCTCAACACTCCTTTCAATGCCATATTTAAGTCCGTGTCACAGATTGTCTCTTCTCCCCAAATATATTCCTCAGCCCCTGTAGTTTGTATGGGGAACCTGTGACTAGGAACTATGACAATAATGCTTGCTATTGACTTTTGGAAATGAAGAAGCAAGCAAAGAAATATGTGTGAGCCTGAGTCCTCTGAGACACGGCTGTCCAGTTTGTCCCCGATCAGCAGAGAGGACGCTTTTGCTCACTGCAAAAACTGATGCGTAGAACCAGAAGGAGAAAGAGTGAGGATGCTCTATACCACTCACCAATTAACATCTATCAAACATTCTTCCTTGAAAGGTTTTTTTGTTTTGTTTTGTTTTTGGTTTTTTTTTGAGTTGGAGTTTCGCTCTTGTCGCCCAGGCTGGAGTGCAGTGGCGCGATCTTGGCTCACTGCAACCTCCGCTTCCCGGGTTCAAGTGATTCTCCTGCCTCAGCCTCCCGAGCAGCTAGGATTACATGCATGCGCCACCATACCCAGCTAATTTTTGTATTTTTAGTAGAGATGGGGTTTCACCATGTTGGGCAGGCTGGTCTCAAACTCCTGACCTCGGATCCACCCACCTCGGCCCTCCAAAGTGCTGGAATTACAGGCGTGAGCCACCGTGCCCAGCCGAAAGGAGGTATTTTAATTTGAATAGTGCCAGAGAATCCTGTCTTGATGTTCATTTTAAATTTCTTCTCCAAATGTAAGGTTTCAGCAGAGGAAGTGAAAAGCGGTACACTTGGAGTTAGAAGACAGGTATTCTAGTCTTGGCTACGCCCTCATTAGCAGTGTGACCCTTAGTGAGTCACTTCACTCCAAACCTCAGTTTTCTTATCTGGAAAACCAGGAGGAAATTCTTCACAAAATCATGAGCATTAATCAAGAGCATATTTGAAAGTTCTTTGTACACTGTAGAGTCAATACAATGTCATTATTATGAGCCTCTTGAAAAACAAATTATTCTAGTTTGTGATTGGGATTAACAATTCTTTCATTTTTATTTATGAAGAGTCTACTGGAATGAAAGAAGATAATGCCACCAAAGTTGACTTAACCATGAATAAGATGAAGTCCTTATTTGCAGTAGTAGGTTGGCTGCCGCTGATCTAGTATGGCAAAAATCAATGAAAGCATTCTGTGAGAATCAACTGAGATACGGAATTTACAAAACATTATTATTGTAAATTGTGTGCTATACATCCGCCATATTAACAAAATTTATAATTCACTGGTGACCATATACATACGCATAAAGAGAGACAGTTTACTATTTACAGGCACATCCTACATGCTCATCTGCAATGTGACTTTGCAATTTCCCTATCAAGAGGTGAAGTCTATCTCTCCAGCCTCGACACTGGGTGAATCCTGTAACCGCTTTCAACAAATGCACATAGTAGAGGTGATACGTGCCAGTCTGATGAAGCCCAACTGGCCTGGCACCTTTTGCTTCTTGCTACTTGAAAGTTAGCTGTCATGTAAAAAAAAAGTGACTACTCTCAGAAAACCATGCTGTGAGAAACCCAAGATACAGGAAAAGGCCCTGGAGGATAAGATGCTGGGTAGACAGAGAGAGAGAGGACAAGGAGCAAAAGGCACCAACGATTAGTGAAGAAGCTATCTTGGAAGTGAATTCTCTAACCCAGCATTTCACCTGATGCCACAGGGATCCGAAACAAACTGCTGGGCTGAGCCCTTCCCAAATTCCTAACTCACAGAATTGAGAACAAAATAGCTGTTTTAAAAGCCACTAAGTTCTGGGGTCGTTTGTTAAAAAGCAGTTGATAACCTGAGAACTATTCCAAGGCTTTTATCTTACAGCTGATACAATGGAGGCCTAGAGACGTCATATGACTTGCTAGAGAGAGATGCACATTAACCCTTTTCCTGTTTGCCCTGAGAATACTTGCCTGGCAGCACTAACAGCTGCAGTTGTTTACCTCAGGATAAGTTTGCCATGAAATATCTTGCTTTTATTTTTGCAAAGACTTCGGAAACAGAAGACATCATTCTATTTATAGCATTATGGTTTTAGTAGTGGTATTCCCATTTACAAAATACAGTACTTCTCGATTGCTGAAAATGTCAAATCCTAGAAAACGTAGCGTTTCTATGTGTGATGTTAACATCATTCTCAAACAGTTGTTGGCCAAAAAATTGTTCAATGAATCTGATTTTTCCAAAATAGATGATTTTGATGTTGGTTCTACTTAGAAACAACTCCAAGAACAGATTTTGCAATTTATTTATTTATTTATTTACTTATTTATTTATTTAAGACAGGGTCTCACTCTGTCATTCAGGTTGGAGTGCAGTGGCGTGATCTCAGCTCACTGCAACCTCTGCCTCCTGGGTTCAAACAATCCTCCCACCTCAGCCTCCTGAGTGGCTGGGACTACAGGTGCGCACCATCATGCCTGGCTAATTTTTTTTTATCTTCTGTAGAGATGGATTTCACAATGTTGGCCAGGCTGGTTTCAAACTCCCAGGGTCAAGCGATCCACCCACTTCGGCCTCCCAAAGTGCTGGGACTACAGGCGTGAGCCACCGCAATCGGCCCCTAGTTTATTTTCACATGGGAAATCTGTCAGATTTGCTTCAGCCTCAAAGAGCTTGTTTATGTAAAATTAAATGAGCACTGGCAGCGAGGTGCATTTTCTTTCTCTAAACAGGACGAGGGTTAAGTGACAAACATGGGGCTCACACACAAGCCTTTTAACCTCACATCCTACAGTCTTTCCACTAAAATGAGCTTCTGGGCCCCTGTCATCAGGATAATTGCTTCAGATCTGCATGTTGTGTGTGTGGGCTTACAATTAGAAAGATGTGTCAGTTATGTGAATGATGTGGTAATGGAAGTGATGTGAAATTATAAGGACGAGTTGTTTGAAAAAAATATACCAGAAAGATGTGACTACAGGCAATTAAAGAGATAAAATGCTTATTTTTAAAATTCACTGAAGATGGATCATATTTTTATTACAAGAGATACTTCCTCTTGGAATAAAGAGTAAGATTTCCTGAGAGAATTTAAAGAGGAAAAAAAGTAATTCAGACACTTCAGACAAATACATGTATAATAAACTTAACTCTCTTCTTTGCAATAGAGACCAGGTTTTAGGCCTAATAATTCTTCACATATATGTAAATAGAACTGATTTATTTTTATTTTTATTTTTATTTTTTGAGACAGGGTCTTGTTCTGTCATCCAGGCTGGAGTGCAGGTGGTGTGATCACAGCTCACTGCAGTCTCAAATTTCAAGGCTCAAGACACCCTCCCACCTCAGTCTCCTGAGTAGCTGGGACCACAGGTGTGTGGCCACCACACCTGGTTAATTTAAAAAAAAAAAATTTGTAGAGACGAGGATTTGCTGTGTTGCCCAGGCTGGTCTCAAGCAATCCTCCTGCCTTAGCCTACCCAAAGTGTTGGGATTACAGCCATGAGTCACCACACCCAGTCTGGGACTGATTTTGTTGAAAGCCATGAGATAAAAAGAGCTGGGCTGAAATTATAGGGGATTAGAGCCCCAATGGTGCTGGGTTGTACCACCAATGGGAAACCATTGAGCCCAAACTAGGTAGGTATTTCTAGAGTAGAAATAACAACAACAAAACTCTATGAGATAGCAACTGAGACCAAATATGTAGTAATTTTGGCATCATGAGAATTATAGAGAGGAAAAAGGAAACAAAAATGTCTGAAGCTAAGTTTAAAATTGGCCAGTGGTGAGTGGTAACAGGTCTGCTTCATCAGTCCCA